CGTCGCGTAGCGCGGTGCGTGTGTCTGCGGATCGACACCCACCACACCCGGTGGAAGTTAGGCGTTTATTTAGGACGTCGCGTAGCGCGGTGCGTGTGTCTGCGGATCGACACCCACCACACTCGGTGGAAATTAGGCGTGTTTATTTAGGACGTCGCGTAGCACGGTGCGTGTGTCTGCGGATCGACACCCACCACACCCGGTGGAAGTTAGGCGTGTTTATTTAGGACGTCGCGTAGCGCGGTGCGTGTGTCTGCGGATCGACACCCACCACACCCGGTGGAAGTTAGGCGTTTTTTGGGACGTCGCGTAGCGCGGTGCGTGTGTCTGCGGATCGACACTTACCACACCCGGTGGAAGTTACGCGTTTATTTAGGACGTCGCGTAGCGCGGTGCGTGTGTCTGCGGATCGACACCCACCACACCCGGTGGAAGTTAAGCGTTTTTTGGGACGTCGCGTAGCGCGGTGCGTGTGTCTGCGGATCGACACCCACCACACCCGGTGGAAGTTAGGCGTGTTTATTTAGGACGTCGCGTAGCGCGGTGCGTGTGTCTGCGGATCGACACCCACCACCCTTAGAAAGTTAGGTCAGGGTCGCTCGTGGTGGTTTTAGTCGGTAGGCTATGGGCGCGCGATGCCACGCTGAGGGAGGCTCAGGGGATTTCGGTCCTCTAAAGCGCCCCTCGTAACGGTGGTACGCGTGCGCGTAGAATCCGACACTCCCCCTTCCTACCCCAGGGCGGGGAAGTCTTTCGAAGATTTCCACCACGTAAAAAAAAAAAAAAAAAGAAGGTAGAGAATAATTTTTAATTCCTTTCAGCAATTACATTTTAAGCGAGAAAGGTCAAGAAACTAATAAACGTTCAAATTACGAAAGAAAGTAATGGTTTTAACTCAAACCGGTTCAACAGGTTTCTCACGTAAAATGTTATTTAAATATTGATCATGGGATTGAAAAAATATGCATCTTATTGGCAAATTCAATTGGTTTACGTTTAAAAAATATTGATATGTTCTTAATCTCCCGTTTTTTACATTGCTTGGCTCAATTTTATTGCGTTATGCCTAATAGTGCAACAACATATTTTATAAATACAAACAGTAAAACAAAGTGAAATCAGAAATAGAATACATGAATAAACAGATATTGACACGAATTGCTAGGAAAGCTATGATAAAACTAATCAAATTTTGCGAGAAACATGTAGTGATTATACACATTTTTTAATAAACAATATTTGCAATACATGAGACACTATACAATCATGCACTTACAGATTAATGCAAGTAATTTTTCAATGATAAAGGGGAGGGAGAAGGAGGGGGAGAGAGAGAGAGAGGGATTTGTAATAGTATTTAAAATAAGAATGTTTAATAATAACTTTGCGTAATTAAACACATAACAATTTGTGCGAACAATATATAGATGATAATTCCTTTATCTTTTGACTTATTCATCTTTATGTTTATTTGTATTTTATCTGGAGATCCGAAAGTAAAGCAAAGCACTGCACATTCTTAAGATATTCTCGAATGGTGGCGCCCAAAAGACCGGTCGTCCTTCGTAACGTAATCGTATCAAAGCTATAATTAACAAAAGCATATATATATATATACTCTTATTCGGCTTGTTCTTTTATAAAAATATTGATATACATACCCTTGGTTACACCAACCGGCTCAGGGATATTGATGTTGATTATCTTGAACATATATATCTGGATATACTTATATTCACAGAATATATTTATATTCTTACGTGTGTGTGTATGTATTCTAGAGTGCTAACTAATGTGTAATATATAATGTGTTAATCTAATTTTGATTACAATTTTATTTGGCGAATTGTAGGCGAATGTAAGCGATTAGCAAATAGAATAATACTCTAATAATGTATATGTATTACAGTAAAAGCGTGAAATTCAGTAAATGTGTACACTTACAAGAGCTCTAATTTATAAATATGAGTGTAGTGAGATAGAGGGGTGCAGCCCCCCACTCCATCCAAAAAACCTAATCTAACCCAACCTAATCTGTATCTCTCAGTGTGATAATAATATTGCTTATTAAAAGATATAAATTTGAAACATAAAATTTAGTAAATATGTGTCATGCGAGAGGGCCAATAAACGATCTTATTAAATTTTGGGTCCGCGGCCCGTGTTGGGCCCCAAGTTAAATTTTTTAAATGAAAAGCTCTACTTTTTCTACTAATCAATTTAAACAACTTTTGTCTGCAACATTTTTTTTATTTTCCTTATACTTTTTAAGATGTTCAAGGAAAACTTGGTAACTTCTTCAATATTTAGCTTACGATATTTCGATAACTGTTTGTCAGGGACAAAAATGGCATAGGACTTTTCGACTTGATTTATTTAAAAAAAATTGGGGTACTATTGCAACAGAAATCAAGTAAAAAAGTCCTATATCACTTAAAATGTTAAAGCATTTCGTTTTCTTATATTGATAAAAATTGCAAAAAAATATATACAAGTAAATAAGAGATAGGAAAAAAAGTACGTAAGCACGAAGCAAAATTTTAAAATGTTTTATGTGGTTTTAATATATTTTTATTAGTTAAAAATCTAATATTTACAAAAAAGTATAAATTAATAATCATTCGACTCAGCACCGTCGCACTTACTATTTACTAGATAATATCGCGCAAGGCGGATTTATTGCAAATGCCTTTCGATTATAAATTACATTTTGTTTGTTATCATAGACATCATCAAGAAAATATTCTTTTAAATTATATTTGTATTTTTTTTAATGTGCTCTACAGATTTCTCTAAAGTCTGCTATAGTATATTTATAATTTTACAAGAAAATTTACTTTACGCTCTCCGGACGATATTAACATATCCATCTTTTGTCTCTCGACTTTTTTCGTGAGAAAATCATTTATAATTTAATGTAAAAAACTTGTGTATATATTATTAATTTATTTAATACCATTCGGAAAGCATTGTTAACACCAAAAACTGAAATTGCGTAAAAAATAACCAGAACGTTTCTTCTTTATCGAGTTTACGAGCTGGTATCGAAAAATAGGCTTAGAAAGGATCACTAGTCATAAAATTATAAAAGGAAATTAAAAACAATCATCGATATTGGTATTAGTATTAGAGCGAATTTGTCCAATTGGCATAAGGCCGAAGAAGCTAATCAAAATTAAGTCGTGAGAACGGAAATAGAAACTAGAAAAATTTGCACTTGTAAACATTGATCTTTTTAACTGGCATCACTTATCGTTCCACATAAGTTTGGAACAAAAGAGGGAAAGAAAATTATGCCATTTAATGTAAGAGAAATAAATTTAGATTTAGACTAATAGTAACGCGTTCAGGTTTCTCTAAGTATTTGTTTATCATTTTTTGACGACAACGACAACGACAACGACGAAGACGATAAAGATGACCGATCACTCGTTACTTCTGAGCGACGGTTGTTTGGTGCCAAAACTAGGTTCCAAGGGCACCAAAAAAGTGACTTTTTCACTAGCATTAGCGTCATCCGGTTTCAGAATAGGCGTATTCTTTCTAATGGGTCTTCGCGATCGCTGTAGAACCTCCTCATACGTAACGTATTCAGGTCTAACCGCTGGTCGCTGTTTCTTCAAGTAGTACACGGCGGAGGTATTCTCCGGCACGTAGCTCGGCTGAGTCGGCTTTACCGTCTGAGGTATCGGGGTTACGCTGTAACCGGCGTTAATTAGAGCGGACAACTCTTCCTGTGTCAGAGGTTGTTGCTGTTCCTTAGGAGAAGGAACACGTATGACTTGAGGGCTGTTTAACTCCCCTTGATCGACGATCTCTTCGATGGTGAGGGACTTGACCGGCGACTTTTTCAAGAGACCCGATTGAGAAATATAAACGGAGGACTGAGTCGGTGGAACTTTGAGTTTGTGCGCTTGACGAGGTTGATTGATAACAGGTTGAACGTAAGCCTGCTCTTGAATGGTAGACTCACTGGAGTGTGGTTTAGTCACCGATCTAGAAGCGTAGGTGGAGCCGGAAGCCTGATACTTGTTGACGTCGTCATTGGTAAAATAGTTATTAGGTGCCGGGAGCTTGGGAGTGCTAGGTAAAAGGTACTGGATGACCGGTGTGCCGTCAGGATCTGCTTTCTTGGCCTCTGCCTGAGCTCTGGCGGCTGCCAAAATCTCACTGTTGGCTTTGGCGCGTGACTGCTGATAGACTTTGTACAACGCTTCGGCTTGAGCCTGCGCCAGCGCCTGAGCTTGGGCTTGGGCACGCAACTGATTTCTCTCAAAGTTCAAAGCGTCGTTATGAGCCTTCTCCTGGGCCTTGACATGGGCCTGCTGCTGAGCTTCGACTTGACGTATGGCATCGGAGTGGGCCTTGTATTCAGCAGCTGCCTGAAGTCTTCTGGCTTCGGCTGCCTCGGCAGCCGCCTGCGCTTTCAACTTTGCCCTGTACGCGGCCTCTGGGTCCTTGGGTTGCAGCTGGCCCTCGATGTGAGCTCGTCCGGCATCGCTCACGTGATCTCCTTGTTGAATTTGTTCCAAAGCGCTCTGCTGCCTGTATCTCTCGTGATCAATTCTGATTTGTTCTAGAGCAGCGTCGTGATGTTTCTGATACGATGCCTGGGCGATTTTCTGAAAAGCTAAGGCCTGCGCCTCGGCCTGAGCCTGAGCCCTGGCGTTCGCTTCGGCTTCCGCCTGGGCTTTCAGCTGAGCGCCGTCATCCACGTAGTCGTATTGCGGGGACGGTCTGAAGGCTTCGACACCCTTTGACGAATAATCAGCCGGTTGCGCCGTTTGATATTGAATTTGGACCGGCTGCTCGATTGACTGATACGTCGCCGCCACTCGTTGCTGCGGCGGATAACGAGGGGGCGGACTAGTTTCGATATGGTATTGCTCGGGTAAATGAGACGCCGAGGTCGCCGTTGATTTGATGTACTCTTGTTGCGGATAGCCGGTTTTAGGCTGCGTCGGAATCAGGTTAAACTCTTGGGCCTGATTGGCGGATACCAGTTGTAGCAACTCTTGCTCGAACGTGCCCAGCTTCGGTGAGGTGTACGATTCTACCTGATACGTGGACGCTCCGGATGGCCCGCGCGTCGATTGCAATGCCACGGCATGATTTTGCGCCTGGACCTGCGCCTGAGCTTGCGCTACAGCCTCAGCTTGAATCAACGCCTGGGGATGTAGCTGAGGTCTCGGTCTCGGAGGAACCACGGCGGGTTTGCGATAATTGTAGTATGCCTGCTGCAACGTCTGCTGCTGTTTGGCATAATCTGGAAGAGGCCTACGCTGTGGCGCATTATTGGGTCTTGTGGCGTACGGCTGCGGTTCGGTTCCGGTGAATTGTCGCAACACGGCTAAATATTCGGGTGACAGCTGAAATTTGCACATTTTTCTACATTAGTTAAACGATAATGTTTTCGCATTGAAATGATAAGTTGTCTTAATCTTAATGGTGTTTTGATCAACGTTAAAAGACAGATGGCGGACCAATGGTTTTTAAGCAACGCTTGCACACGATGAAATTTTAAATATACTTACATATAAGATTACATGTTACATGTTAACACAACTTAAATGTTATGCGCGGCTAAATAATTAAATTTCGGAAATTGAGCGAACGTAAACTGAAACGTACAAAAGATATCTTTACCGTTGAGATAAGATATATATTATATATATATATATATATATATATATATATATGTATATGTCTGTCAGTGCAATATATAACTGCCGTAACTGCAACTTATCATTCAAATTAGTCAACTTTCTCAGATATATCGAGATGCAATTGAAAATGCAAATTAATAAATGAGAAATAGATCAAAGACAGACGCGAACATATAAGAAATAGCAATTGAAGGTGATAGAGCCCCATTTCACTCCATCTTTGTGTTGAACTTGATCTTACGAGCAGACGGCAAACAGATGATCGAAGGTTATTGTTCCGTGAACGAGTAGTCGCAACAGCTCGGCGGATGAGCTAGTAACCGATATAAAGAAGCGACGGTCATGAAAATGACTCATCCCGCTATAACGGTACACAAGGCCGCGGGGAAGGCTATAATTCTATAAACGTACGAGATTTGATAAAACTGGGAACTTATATCTGGTTGTCAGTGGGTGTGGTTGTACCGGTTCTGTCAGGTCGGGGCGATTAGAAGGCGTGCAAACTTGCAAGCGTTATGCAAGCGAGCGATTGCATTCGAACACGGCGCTGTCGAGCGATCACGAGCGACCGCGTAGGAGGCACACACGTACATATCGACAAAATCTCTTTCTCTTTTTCTCCTAACCGAACCCCTTATATGGATTTGTGAATGCATTAATCTAATATTGTTTACCGAATCGATCCGATGGTAATCGACAATAATAAAGATTTATCCATATCTTTGTATATATATATATATATACAAAGATATATATATATATATATGCAGCGAAAGTACAAAGATATGGATAAATCTTTATTATTGTCGATTTCCATATCTTTGTATATATATATATATATATATATATGCAGCGAAAGTACAAAGATATGGATAAAT